ATTTACCGAAGTATATTTTAGGACTAGTGAAATACTATTTATCATATTACATATTACAGTATATAGAATGTTATTAAGAATGAAATGAATTAAGATGTTTGCAGAAACAGCGTTATAGAAGAGTCCATAAAAACCAATGGTTTCATTTCGTGGATGATAACTTTGTGATCTAGCAGCATGAAAAACTTGCAACACCCCACGATCAAATTTAGCATAGAAACAAAAAGTAATTGTTGCTTATATATGTTACTAGAATGTTTCTAGTTCTAAGTCTAGTGTTAGTTCTAGTTTTACTTCTTATTCAGTGCCGGCACTAAATAGCCCTAGGTTCTGTATTGTTATTAAACTAAAACTAGAACTAGAATCATTCGGGTTTAGCTGTCTTTAAAGACGTTCGGCGAAGCCCGAATGTTTCTAGTTCTAGGTCTAGTGTTAGTTCTAGTGGCAGTTCTAAGAAGCGCTACCTGGCATTAGAGAGCCCTAGGTTGTGTATTGTTATTGAACTAAAACTAGAACTAACACTAGACCTAGAACTAGAATCATTTGGGTTAGCCGCACGTCTCTAAAGACGGCTAACCCGAATGATTCTAGTTCTAGGTATAGTGTTAGTTCTAGTTTTACACTTACACTGTCACTAGAACTAACATTAGACCTAGAACTAGGAACATTTGGGTTTAGCCGTACATCTCTTAAGACGGCTAAACCCGAATGATTCTAGTTCTTGGTCTAGCGCTGCATAGCAATTAAAACTAGAACTATTAATATATAGGACTAACACTATACCTACAACTAGAAAGTTTCGGGTTCGTTAGCCGTGCGTCTGAAGACGTATCTTCACGTATCTTCGTATCTCAATAACAAATTGAGATATTCTAATGCGATAACAAGTATTTTATAGCAAATTTAATGTAGTTTTAGTGTGCCATAAAAAATTTCTATTCATTGCTGGTACTAGATAGCCTTAGGTTCTGTATTGATATTGAAGTAAAACTAGAACTAACACTATATAAAAAAATATAAAAAGGGTAATAAGGGAAGTGTAGAGAGCTACAGGGGAATTAATCTACTAGACTGGGCATACAAGGTATACACGAAGACACGAAGTTGGGGGGAATTTTGCCGGATGGGCAGGCAGGCTTTCGGAAGGGAAGGGGAGCAATCGACAACGTGTATGTGTTGAAGCATTTGGCAGATAGAGAGCTGGATAAGAAGGGAGGGAAATTGTACGCCCTGTTTATAGATTTGAAGGCGGCTTTTGATAAGGTGGATAGGGGGAAGTTGTGGGAGGAGATGGGGAGGAGGGGGATAACGGAACACCTAATTGCGAGAGTGAAGGAAATATACATGGAGACGATGGCTAGGATAAAAGTGGGAGATAAGCTGAGCGACGTGTTCTGGACGACGAAGGGACTGAGGCAGGGATGTCCGCTGAGCCCAAGTCTGTTTGCACTGTATACGGCGGACCTGGAGGATAGATTGGGGAAGGGGCAAATGGGAGGGTTGGTGGTGGGAGGTAGAAAGGTGCATATGTTAGCATACGCGGATGACATCGTGGTCATGGCGAGAGAAGCGGCGGAGATGAAAGATATGATAAAGACATTGGAAAGATATTTTAGGGGGAAGGGGCTGGAAGTGAATGTGGGGAAGACAAGGATGATGAAGTTT